AGAAGGAGGCCTCAATGAAGGGTAAGGAGCGGTGAGTTTTCTTGTAAATATTAAAAATGGGAGCCAGCATTAGTTACATGTTTTTTGTACATATTTTAAAAAAATTATTGAGTGTAGAGGAACCTGAATCTTATGATGATTATATAACTAAAAGTGAAACTATTGTTCCCACGGCTCCACCGGAACCCCTAGTCTCTGAGGAAGAAGCTTCTAAATATTATGAAAATGGAAGGCCGCCTTCAATGGCAGCAGCCCATACTAAGGATTCACAAAACATTCAGTTGGAAGACAAGATGGAAAAAATAGAAAAAGTTATGGAAAAAATAGTGTCTCAACAAATGGAAGCTCAGTGGACTAGTCATAAACCTCCAAAAAACATGCCTAGCCCAGTGGCAGATCTTAATCCTTCCCCTTGTGACAATCAGTTAGAAAAGGAACCTTCTTTGATTGCTTTGGCTTCAGGACCTTGTGAAGGCTGGAAGCCTGTGAGAGTAAACTCCCAATTTCTTAAGTCTCCAGTTCAACAGGGTTTACAACAAGCCCTTAAAGATGGTGAGGATGTATCTGCATTTTCTCTGGTCTGCCCAGTTTTTGAGGCTCAGGATGCTCAGGGAAATCTTGTACGTCAACATGCTCCAATTCCTTTTAAACAATTAAAACAATTAAAAATGGCATGTGCTCAGTATGGCCCTATTGCTTCTTTCACTCAAGTCTTGCTAGATTCTTTGTCAACTGATGCTCTCCCTCCATTTGACTGGAAACAAATTGCTAAAGCTTGTCTTTCTGGGGGTGATTACTTGTTATGGAAATCAGAATATACAGAACAATGCCAGAGAATAGCAGATCTTAATAGACAGCAAGGAGAACTTAATGCAACTTATGAGATGCTAGCAGGAGAGGGACCTTATGCTGAGGTTACTCAGCAATTAGGTTTTCCCCCAGGTGTGTATGCTCAGATTAATATTGCTGCTAAAAATGCTTGGAAAAAACTTCCTTCATCTGGACGAGCCTCAGAAGATCTTTCTAAAATTAGATAGGGACCTGATGAGCCTTTTCAAGATTTTGTGGATCGCTTGTTACAAACGGCCAGCAGAGTCATAGGAGAATCTGAAGATGGTATAGTTTTAGTAAAACAATTGGCCTATGAGAATGCTAATTCTGCTTGTCAGGCCGCCCTTCGTCCTTTTAGAAAGAAGGCTGATTTATCTGATTATGTTCGCTTGTGTGCGGATATAGGTCCTTCTTACACTCAAGGCCTTGCCATAGCTGCAGCTTTACAAGGAAAAACTGTAAAAGAGGTTTTATATCAACAACATAGAAGGGGCCCTCCAAAAAAGGGAAATAATGGAAATTGCTTTGGCTGTGGTCAGGCAGGACATTTAATACGAGACTGCCCACAATGTAAAGAAAATGGATCTTTTTCAAAGCCTCCTAAAGAACCTGGTTTATGTCCTAAATGTAAAAGAGGAAAACATCGGGCCAATGAATGCAGATCTAAAAAAGATATTATGGGTAATCCTATCCAGTCGGGAAATGGGTGGAGGGGCCAGCCTCAGGCCCCGTATCAAATTTTGGGGGCATTTCAGAATCCGAAACCTCAGATCATCCCTCAAAATCAGTCAAAAAATCCATTCAGGACTTATTCCGAGCCCCCTCAGGCAGTGCAGGATTGGACCTCAGTTCCTCCTCCTATGCAGTATTAACCCCTGAAATGGGAATGCAAGCCCTACCCACTGGAGTTTTTGGGCCACTACCTAAAGATACTTTGGGTCTCTTGTTGGGTAGGAGTTCCTCCACTATGAAAGGTCTTATGATTTCCCCAGGAATTATTGATGAGGACTATACTAGAGAAATTAAAATTATGGTTTGTTCACCTTCTCAAATTTCTGTTATTCAGCCCAGACAGCGTATAGCTCAACTGATTCTTTTGCCCAGGATAGTTACCTCAGGAAAATATAAAAAAGCCATTAGAGGGGATAAAGGTTTTGGGTCCTCAGATGTTTATTGGGTGCAGTCTATTGGAGCCAATAGGCCAGAAATAAAATTGTTAATTCAAGGAAAATCTTTTATTGGGTTATTAGATACTGGTGCTGATGTCTCTGTTATAACTGCTGACCAGTGGCCTTCCACATGGCCTTTACAGGAAACTGTCTCTCAATTACAAGGCATTGGTCAAAGTAAAAATCCTAAACAAAGTACTGATATGTTAAATTGGAATGATTCTGAAGGACATTATGGGACTTTTCAGCCTTATGTTGTTTCTGGCCTCCCAGTTAATTTATGGGGAAGAGATGTCATGAAGCAGATGGGAGTTTATTTATATAGCCCTAATCAAAAAATTTCTAATCAAATGTTTGATCAAGGATTCTTGCCTAATGTTGGTTTAGGAAAGGAAGGTCAAGGAATTTAATTTCCTGTGACTCCGACAGCCCATCCTTCTAGACAAGGCCTGGGATATTTTCCCTAGGGGTCATTGACATGCCTGCACCCCATGCAGATCCAATTGTCTGGAAAGACTAAAAAACTGTTTGGGTTGATCAATGGCCCTTAACTAGTGAGAAGTTAACAGCCGCCAGACAGTTAGTGCAGGAACAATTAGATAAAGGCCACAATGAGCCGTCTGTCTCTCCTTGGAATTCCCCAATTTTTGTTATAAAGAAAAAGTCTGGTAAATGGAGATTATTACAAGATTTAAGAAAGATTAATAAAACTATGGAAATCATGGGAACATTACAAACTGGTCTCCCCCTTGCCTCCGCAATACCTAGAAATACTTTTAAAATAATTATTGATTTAAGGATTGTTTTTATACTATACCTCTAGCTCCTACAGATTGTAAACGATTTGCTTTTAGTGTTCCTTCTACTAATTTCCAGGAGCCTATGCAAAGATATCAATGGAGAGTTTTGCCTCAAGGTATGGCAAATAGCCCTACCTTGTGTCAAAAGTTTGTAGCACAGGCACTTTCCTGTGTTAGACAAAGTTATCCTTCTGTTTATATGATACATTATATGGATGATATTCTTTTAGCAAATGAAGATGAATCATTATTGCTTACTGTATTTGTTTATTTACAAAAGGTTTTAAATGATTATGGATTAGTTATTGCTCCTGAAAAAATTCAACGGGAGTCTCCTTTTTCATATTTGGGATATCAACTTTATCCTAGAAAAATATTTACCCCAAAGTTACAGATTCGAAAAGATAACTTGAAAACTTTGAATGATTTTCAAAAATTGTTAGGAGATATTAATTGGATAAGGCCTTATTTAAAATTAACTACTGGAGAATTAAAACCTTTATTTGACATCTTGCAAGGGGATCCTGATCCTTCTTCCCTCAGGACCCTCACATACAAAGGACGATTGGCTCTTCAAAAGGTGGAAATAGCTATTTCTAATCAACAGATATTTTATTTTGACTATCAAAAACCCTTAGAAGCTTTTATTTTTCTAACCAAACATTCCCCTACAGCTGTTTTGTGGCAGGACAGACCTTTATTGTAGTTACATTTATCTGTTTCACCTGCTAAAAATTTACAACCTTATTATGAAGCTGTTGCCCAACTTGTTCAATCAATCCAATGTAATGCTCGGAAATATTTTGGTTTGGAACCTTCCTATATTGTAATTCCCTTTACAGGAAAACAATTAGATTGGTTGTTTCAGAATTGTGATTCTTGGGCTATTGAATTTGCACATTTTTCAGGTCAAATTAAATTTCATTATCCACCTAATAAATTGTTACAATTTGCAAATCTTCAATCTTTTATTTTTCCAAAAATTATTTCATTTAAGCCTATACCTGATGCCATTGTTATTTTCACTGATGGGTCTTCTAATGGAAAAGCAGTTTATGTTATTGATGGTCATGAAAAGGTTTTTTTCCACACCCACTGCTTCGGCACAAGTAGTTGAATTGTGTGCCATTCTTTTTGTTTTTCAGGAATTTGCTCATGTTTCTTTTAATCTATATAATGATAGTCAATATCTGGCTAAAGCCCTTCCTTTTTTAGAAACTGTGGCCTGTATTAATACCAGTAATTTAGAAGTTCAACAATTTTTCATTCAAGTACAAAACTGTATTCATGCTCGTTCTCTTCCTTGTTTTATTGGACATATTCGAGCTCATACTGTTTTACCTGGTCGATTGTCTTTGGGAATTCATCTTGCTGATGTTTCCACAAAATTTATTGCATTTTCAAAAATTGATTTAGCTCATCAGTCCTATCAACTCCATCACCAGAATAGTCGTACTCTTAGATATCAATTTCAGATTCCTCGAGAAGCTGCCCGACAAATTGTTAAACAATGCTCCACTTGCCCTCAATTTTCTTCTGTTCCACATTATGGTGTTAATCCTCGAGGTTTGCTTCCTAATCAACTATGGCAAATGGATGTTACTCATGTAATGGAGTTTGGAAAATAAAGGTATGTACATGTTGTTGTTGATACTTTTTCAGGATTTACTCTTGCTTCAGCTCAAACAGGAGAAGCTATTAAACATATTATTGCTCACTGTATACATTGTTTCTCCATTTTAGGAATACCTCAAAAAATAAAAACAGATAATGGTTCTGGATATATTAGTAAGGCCTTCAAACAATTTTGCCAACAAATGCATATTGTGCATATTACAGCCATTCCCTATAATCCTCAAGGACAAGGAATAGTTGAACGTGCTCATGGCACACTGAAACTGCAGCTCCAAAAAATAAAAAAGGGGGAGTTAGATCCCTCCTCACCTAGAAATTACTTAAATCATGCAACCTACATTATAAATTTTTTACAAATTGATAAGAATGGACATTCAGCAGCAGAAAGATTTTGGCATCCACAAGGTTCTCCATATGCCTTGGTAAAATGGAGAGATCCTTTAACTAGCCAATGGTATGGACCTGACCCCATTTTAATATGGGGCTGAGGGCATGTTTGTGTTTTCTCACAGGAA